TTATGAGGGGGGAAGACGAGACTGGTGTCTGAGGAGTAGATGTAAAGGTGGGTGGATGTGGGTACTGTAGAGGACACTGATGCACAGTGTGCACTTAAAAGGGCTACCGTATAATCAACATAGAACCTTTCAGATGTTCTACACATATAGTAAAAATTACGTGATTTTACTTAGAACCACAATTGTTGCACTGCAGTTGGCAGTCAGCATAGATTACTTACGTGAGATCAGCACACGAATGTGACTAAAATTATTCAGTACAAACACTAACTGCATAAAAAAAAACGAAAATGTAACATCTTGGGAACAATTTGTAGATCTTCCAGCCTCTGGACTGTCCCAGTGTTTGTAGTGTAAAATATCGCCAACCTCTTCATATGCTGTATTATTTGTTTAATATTTAGTGGTTAAAAGCAAAAATAAATGTGCTAGACATCTAAGGCCATATAGAGGTACGAGCTGCAGCAAAGAGTAGACATGAATGTGTGGAACAGAAAGAGGAACATTAAATAGGGAACATTGGGGCGGATCAGAACGTGACATCAGATAGGAGTGTTAGACAGGTGTGATCCATACGTGAGCGGGTGAGAGCCATCTCCCAACGTCTGTTCCGATGAAGTGGAACTGACCAGGAGGAGATTGATAGTACAGAGTGTAATGTGATGTGGACATGGCAGAAGAGCGTGCTGTTCATTGCCAGGGATTTCAGCATGGCTGGGCACCCAGCAAAATCTGATAGATTTATGGCGCGTGGACAGGTAGAACCAGTTCTGGGGGAATATGAATAGGAGGAGGATGGATATCGGCAGTCACTTTGAGTGTGGAGGGAGCGGTAGTTGTGGAATTGGAGGCTGAATGAGGGGTTTCGGTTTCAGTTTGGGACTTCAGCAGATGTTTTTGAATATCTTCAAGAGTTTCTGTAAAGGAGTTGGTTGGGGAGTTTTGAAAGACGAAGGTATTCTTATGAGGGGGGGAAGACGAGAATGGTGTCTGAGGAGCAGATGTAAAGGTGGGTGGAGGTGTGTGTGGTAGGAGAAGGGGTGGAACGTATAGGGGTAGTGCGGGGAGGAAGAGGGGGAGGTGTTGGGCCTGCAGTAGAGATTGGAGTGTCTGGATTTAGGATGTCAAAAGAATTTGACTGGGGGAGGTAACAGGTAGAAGTGGGGAAGTAAGATGGAGGTGGGATAGGTATAGAGGAGAGTGTAGGAACATCTTGGGAGGGAGGGGGAGGGGAAGAGCGAGTGACATTACTGGAGTAATGAGTGAGAGCAAAACCTTGTCAAGCTTCCTGTCTGGCTTTAGGCAGAGTGAGACCAAGTCTGAATCTGCCACCTCAGACTCAAATTGTAGGTGGGGCAGCCCCTATAAAATACATTATGGGGGCCATCACAGTTGGCACATGGATGACGTGCAGAGCAGTTTGATTGGTTATGACTAGGTCGGGCACATAGAGTGTTTGGCAGGATGTCCTAAACGCCAATAATTTTGACATTGACGGGGAGGAGGTTGATATGGTCAGGCAGGGAGGGATTCTCCACCAATGTAAACATTAAAGGGAAAGTCATGTCTACGGAAAGTAATTTTAGCGATGTTGGTGGGGCTCTTACGATGATCTTTAGGAGGAATGGAGTAGCACTGTACTGATATCACATCATAGCCAGTGAGGTAGGCGAGGAATTCTCCACAATCTGACCAATGCTATAGATAGGACAGTTTGCTGGCGAGATTCCAGAGTTCCGGTACAAGTATTGAGGGTTGGATGAGGTTCTGCGGGAATGGATTGCCAGAAAGATCAGTTAGGGTTGATACTACTATAGCTTAGGTTTCGGATGTAACTGACGAGACGTGAACGATCGGGTCCTCTACAGGAAGGGACTTTGCCTACTTGTTTTTGGAGACATTACTGGAAGAGAAGAGTGTTGTCAGAGTAAGGAGGTGTGTGTATGGGGGAGGGGGGGGGCACGAAAATCGGTCCAATTTAGCTGGGCTAAATAGAGTATTTAAGATATTTATAGAGATAGGGGTGGTAGAAGGAAGAGGGAGTAGTGCTGAGAGGTATTGTTATGGAGGTGTGGACAGTAAGCCTGTAAAGTAGCAATAGTGAGGAAGAGGTGGATGATGAAGAGGGCTGTGGAGGTATAGGGGATAGAGTTGAGAATGTTGGGAGCATCGGGAATGTCTCCCGGAGGTTGAGTATTAACCTGGTGGATGATGTACTAGTAGGCATTAGGAGGGGGTTGAAGTTGCAGTGTTCAGAGGCGTGGTCAAAGAAGAACCTGGGCTCAAGGAACCAGGAGAGTTGGTCGGGCTGTATGATAAAGCAACAAGCCTCACTGCCCCTAACAAGGATATAACATCATCATTATTGGCCATGGTAAGTTTAGAGTGTGTTGGAGAGAGAAACACTCCACCCCTTGATGGGTAAGGGCTAGACAGCTAAACAGGGGAATACTGAGCCCATGGCTCCCTCAGGCCATTCATGAGTGGCACAAAGTCAGCCTTTCATCCTTTCAATATGGCTCTCATACCTTAAGAAGTGGATAGTAGAAGAGGTTGGAGAAGGGACAGAAACGAAAAAGCGGAAGGGGAAAAAAACTGTTCAGAATTAGTTGAGTCAAGGACTAAGGCCCAAGACAGGATAGATCCCTAGCACTGCGTCCCAGTCTCCGTCTCCTAAGCCCCCCACAACAACAAAGGGCAAGATTGGGGGGTTTCGGGGAGAAGCCCCCCCCCTCATCAAGATGTTTTATGGTTCATAAGTTTCTGGATTCACTAAATGGTTAATGGTTAAAACAAATAATTGTGCTAGCATTATGATGAAGTATTATGCCGACAAGGGTAAAAATAAATAAACAATTAGGGTTAGTGGACAGAAGGAGATGAAGACAAGACGAAAAAGGAAAGGAGAAGAAAAGACCCTGCTGAATTAGTTGAGGCAAGGGCTCAGGTCCAAGGTTGGGGTCACCTCAGTTCTACTCTCCTAAGCCCCCCACGGCAATAACGAGCAAGGGGTTGGGGGGGGAGGCACATTTAATACAAAAAAGGCTACACATGATAGTGCTACAATTGGCTCTAGCAACTCACTCTATTAGATGCTTATAATTTTATGTGTGGAGCTTTTGAACCAATCGATTAGTGCCTCCATACCAGTGACAATAGTGAATGATATCAGTATTCACCGTGATTTATCTTGCCGGCAATAATAATCAGCATGGTCTAATTTGCAGAATTTGTTACATACCTTAAAAATCACGCCTTGCATAGATGTGATATTTGTATGATGGATTTTTGGTTTTGATCAATTCCATACATTTCCAATTCACATAACAATTGTTGACTCTCCAGAGCTTCGGTCTTTCTATTACTATAAGGTGCTAGACAGAACTTACTCATGCTCGTTTGATGTGAAACAGGCTAGTAGGCATCCTGTGTATCGTTTGCCAACACTTTTCCTATGTGTTGCACTGGGGTTCCTCCTTGTTCCCCCAGAGAAGACTGTGATAGCCAGGCAGGGATGAACCAGTTGGGTGAAGGCCATGTATTTCAATTATAGAGCCACATTAGCTCACCCTTACTTGTCTATATTTCCATTCATCTGCACTGGGTTTGTTATTTGACATTTCCAAGCTTACATCTCCCTAGTTCCCTGCCTTCCTTACTGAGTAGATAGGTAAAACCACTTGCCTATAGCCTGTTAAATCCAAAACTGAAACTGACTTTTTCCTTTGAGTATTTTAACCCAATGCTGCTGGGGAATATGAATAAAAATTGGGAATAATGCTGTGCTCATTTTCTATATTTTTTGTGAAATGTCTCTGTACATAGATGGCTCTGCATAGCCACAAAGGAGTCAATTACTAGACCTTGTGACCTTACCTGATTTGAATGGGCGGGAAAAATATATTTTTTAATAGTGCTATGAATATCAATGGTGTTTTATAAACATTATAATTATAATGTTATAAACATTAGTAACAGCAAAATAAGATAATGAAAAATATTTTCGTAAATCAGAGAAACGGGTAAACAGGCAGTATTTGTAATTGGCTCATTGGTGACTTTGTACAAGTGTAGCCATCTGTGTAAAAATAATCAAACAAGTAACTCACAGTGGGCATAGCACGTATGTACATGTCATGCCCGTCGGCATTGGGTTAAGAACTGTTTATGGTGTAGAACACTTTGCACCCTGCCCCCCCCCCCAAAAAAAAAGTTTTACTTCTGGTAATTAAAACATCATTTTATTTATATTTATATTGTCAGATAATTCTCTATATATATCTAGTTGTCTATTTCTTTCCTTTACTAGCACAAAAAAACAAAAAAAACAAACTTATGGTTCAAAACTTATTTTCTCTAAACAACACATACAGAAAAAGGGGAAGACCAAACAAAATACCGGTAGCTGTACAGTGTGAGCATAAAATGTAACAATTAACAAAACTCTATGCCCTTGTTTTAAACTGAAAATGCTAATTTATTTTAAATCTGACCAGATGGAAAGTTTAGCAGTCCTAAGTAATAGACTGCCAACTATATAATATTTCTGCTAAGAACAAAATACTTCTTAATGAAATAACTCTCTATCAAACATAAGGTCATTTTTATCAAACACTCAACTCAAACAAAAATTAAGAATAATATAACTTCAAGTACTGCCTCAGATTAGCAAATCTGACGTAGATTTCTTTACAATCAGTCTGAAACTATATACATAAATTTAAATTTTGTATCCATTTTTTTGTGTGTATGTGTGAAATAACTCCATTAAACATAAGATCACCTTTATCAAACAATCACTCAAAAAATATTAAGAATAATAATATAACTTCAAGTACTGCCTCAGATTACTAAATCTGTCTTAGATTTCTTTACAATCAGTCTGAAACTATATGCATAATTTTGTGTGTGTGTGTGTGTGTGTGTGTGTGTGTGTGTGTGTGTGTGTGTGTGTGTGTGTGTGTGTTTGCATATGCATGCTAACTCTGCATAAACATACA